CAGGGACCGCGCTGAACGGCAGCGAGGGCAGCAGCGCTCTGAGATTGCCCGGCCGGGCACCGAGGTTTGCGCTGTTTGGTTTGTTACAAAAAGTTCGAATAAAACAGATCTGTTCGTGCCGACCTCTGTCAGACTGCGTCCAGGTAGTGAGTGCTGTATTTCTGCCGAAGGGAAATAGGGCTGGAGACCTCGAGTCTGTTTGTTATTGACAGAACTTGTGTGAGCACTTCCACGCTGTGCTCTGTCTCCCCTATTTCAGTTTAATACTTGCAGTGTTCTCTGTTTTCTAGGGTGTGCGTTTGTGTTTTGGGTGTTTTGCATTTTGTTGTGTGTTTTTTAATGCCTCGGAAAAGTGCACTAACAAAAACTACGTCATAAACTTCGTTTCTGGAGTTCTGAGTTGAAAACAGGTGGGAATTAAGCCCCTGCTAGTTTCTCCAAGCCCACCTTTTTGGGCAGTAAAAAAATCAGACTTAACTTTATTTCTCCTTTTCTATATATTGATGTATTTTCCACTTTTTACTGTTGTCTTGTACTAAAACAAAGTCTTTGTTACTAAAACAAAATAGTTCCCTTTTGGTATGAGTTGAAGGCATTTACCATTCAATATACTGAGTCAAATTAGTTTCTGTTAATATGTATGTTCTGAAGAGATGGGTTTTTTCTTATTTAGTTTGGCTCCCTATTACAGCTTTTCTCTTTTCCTACCTCAATTTTCCAGATATAGGGAATAAGGGAATATTGGGATTCTTTTTTTTTTTTTATCTGACCTATTCAGAGGCAATGAGCTTAGTCCCTCACATTTTTCTAGTACTCAGTCTTACAGAACTTGTTTTGACCAGGATGCTGAGAAAGGTGTTCCAAAGGGCAAAGGAATAGCCCATAAGTTTAACTTTCTGGTGGCAAAACATGACCAAACATCACTGTTGATTATAGAATGTGGGATTTTGTTTTTACCTGTAAAAACCATAGTTGAGTCTCTTCTATCTATTTGATCTTTTGCCTCTCAAGAGAGTTTTGGAATGAAGATGTGGAATTCCGTTCCTATTCTGCAATTTATATCAAAGAGAGATTTATCTTTAGCTGTGGCTGTGATAAAAGAGCTTTTGCACATACAGACTTGATTCAGCTGTAGAGAACATTTGGGCCATTTCAGTGGGAACTCTGTGGTTTGAGGTATTGGATGAGGCTCCAAGTGACTTGGTCTAATGGAAGGTGTCCCTGCCCATGGCCTTGGGGCTGGAATAGGTGATGTTTAAGGTCCCTTCCAGCCCAAACCATTCCAGGATTCTGTGATTGTTGTCTACATTTTCCTGACTTCTACTGAGAAAAAAAGTTCTCTGTCTAAAATACTGGAAGTTTCCTAAAACTTGACGTTTTTGGGCAGAGTAGTGTAATAAAGCCCAAATAAATCTACAGGAAAGTAATACTGAATAAAAATAAATTCACTCCTATTTATTTGTTTAGTTTATCATTTATTTGTCAAATCTGTGCAGCCTCTGTTGACCAGGAGCTTCCCTTTTAGCACAAAGAGCATGATATAGGAGCAAATATAGTTTTTGTTGTGAGCCTTTTTCAGGATTTTCTGAGTAACCTCTCCAAGTCATTGGTGTTGAAACATTTGTAGCATTACAAATGCAGAATCATTTCAGTTTTTAACCCCATGTTGTGACTTCAATCTAAATTAAGAGAAAAAATTAAAAAGCTGTTTCCTGCAGTGCTGTGCCCAAGGATAATTCTGATAAAGATCCCTAAATTCAAGTGTGCAGTGGTGTGCAAATGGTGTACAAATGCCATGAACTGTTCCCTCATATTGCATAACTTTATCCTTTTTTTAATTTTATTTTTTAAGAGGTAATTAATAGAATTTCTGTTTTCAAAGAGAGATCATATTTTCCTGAAAGCTGCTGTTCAAAATGTTCAAATAACCCAACTGAAAGCAGTTAATGTTGACATCTCATGAGAACTCTTCAAACCATTTCAACTTTCTCGTTTCAGGTGATGCTGTGAGCACATGAATAGTGTGCAGGGACTCTTGGCTGCCTCAGTGATTTCCATCCAGAATTCCTGCTTCATCTATCCTGCCTGTCAAAACTGCTTTTCCAGGCTGATACTGCATGCCAGGAGGTATGTCCTGTTTTGGGGATCATGTGCTGATTTCCATTAACTTACTGATTTCCATTACTCTGTTAGCTGAACCCTAAACAAAGTGATGAAAATCCAGCCCCTCCAGATCAAATCCTGATTTTATTTTTTCATCTCCTTCTACATGTGCAGTGCACCTGCATGACTCTTCACTGAGTGCATGTCCAGAAAGGGATGAGCTTTCTTTTTTAATTGCAGCAGTGGGTGAAATCTCTGACACACAGAAGAAGAGTAAATCAATGAATGCCAGCACTAAATAGAAGGAGCTGACTTTGTAAAACAAGGATATCTGTTGTCTCAAATGCTGAAGTACAAAATAACAGTGCTATTTCCTGGTTATTTTTTAAACCTAGGTATTTATACCGAAGCTGCAGGAGGAAAAATCCCAAACCAAAATGAAATGTGAGAAAAGTGAGCACAGGCAATTCAAAAATTCAACATTGCACCCCAACAGTCTGAAAACCCACTGTCCCTTCAATTTCACAACAGGCTAGCATTTAATAAATCAGTGATAGAAACCAGAGACATTCTGTCATAATACACACATCTTGCTCTGAGCCTTTGGTAAGATTAATGCTTTACCTCAAGGAGTAAAGAATAAGGAAAAAATCTTACAGTTTTTGATGAATATTTGATACATTACAGTAGTAATATTTACCGCTGCAGATAAATTCTTACCTCAGCAGTAATTAACAGAACTTCATCTATTCAATCTTTTTTATCCTTTTACTGTCTTTTGTCAGATTCAACTGTCTAAAATGTGGCTGCACAGGTGAAGCTAAAGATGCAAGCTACAGATATAGATTGTCCCTAAAGATTGCTGACACCAATGATTTGTTTGACATCACTGTTTTTGGAAGTTGCTTAGATCCATTCTTTGGGGTCACTGCAGAGAATCTGCATAGGTAAGGAATAGATTGTCTGACCATATAGCTACTGCTATTTGTTCAGCCTAAAATAACTGCAATGAGCCTAGATGGTGGGAAGATGAGTGGGAAGTAACTGCTAAAGTGCTCCCTTCCAGCATTTGCTTGGTACCCATCACCTTGAGAAAGTGTGGAAGTTAGTTTCTCCCTGAAGTCTTGATGTTTTGAGTTGGATTACTTCTAGGTAGTAAAAGAAATCCCCCACTTGTCTATTGAAGGCTGCTTCTACCTGTTAAGTGAGCCTCACTCCTTGGTTGGTTTGGCTTCCTCCTTGTGTCCTTTCTCCTTTTTTTGAGATGATTGAATTTCCTTTAAGTAAGTTAGCTATTCCAGATAGAGCCTCTGGCTTTTCTTTTTTAACAGTTTGAATGCACCTTGTGACTAATTGGCAGTATAACCATATTTTCCTGAAGAAAGAAGGGATTTCTAAGTCTGTTAGTCCTCAGAGCCTGACCACCCACATTTATAGGCTTCAGATTTTCTGAAATGTGAAACTGCCAGGATGGGATATTCAGATAGATTCCCTGCTTCTTTCTCTAGTCTGTTATTTTCCCAGTGCCTTGGCTCATAGATTAATTATTTGTAATGGCATATTAGCAGCATTAATAACATGCCCATGACAGGCATTCTGCCCTACACTGCTGTCCTGCTGTCAGCTGTGGAAAGCAGTTATTTCCATGTCTTGCATGGATACTGCTGTGCTGTAAAGGCTGGGCAGGAGGGATGTGTAAGGAACAGCAGCATCTTGACCAGTATTGTACAGTCACTGTGGTGGCAGGAAAATCACAACCACATGGGGAACACCTGAAAGTTGTGAGTGTATTGAACTTGTCCTGAGTGGTTGTTTTGTTTACTGTATCTCACTAACAAGTTAGGTGAACTAAAGAATTGAATTTATAGCTTCATGGTTTTCCTGTTTTCATTCTGAGTTTAGTTGAAGCTAGCACAAAATCTTTTCCTTAACATGTGTCCTCATTAGCACTATAGTACTGTTAAAATGCTGTGTAAGTCTTCTTCCTCTGTTAGTCCAATACCTCTGTGTGTTTTTATTCTAGGTATATTCAAGACTTCAATCAGCTGTCAGGAGAAACAAGCACAGAGTCAACTGCAAGAGCATTAGTTCAAGCAGTGGAAACCTGTTTCATTGGAAAAAGGTTTATATTTGGAGTGAAGGTAACTTTTAATCCACATTATGGCCTTTTAGTGAGTTTCTGTAGCC